TCTGAAAAATGAGTTAATTCATGAGCTCTTGATAAGGTTGGATGTGATTGTCTACGTCCTCCTGCTGTCTGATTTTGATTTATTCAAAATAATTCCTGCTCATGGAAATTTACTGCATTGTGTAGGGTGCACTCAAACAGATTGCAGGGCGGTCGCTGCTGCTTATTGATTCTGCTGCAACGTGGAAGCTTCCACTGGGGGGGGGGAATGAAATCAGCTTTCTTCTAGCCCTTTCTGGTTGCAAACTTCACTTTGAAACCAGAAAAACAGGTAGAAAACATGAGTTGGTTTAAAATTGACGCAGGCACACATTGCACAGGACATAATGAAAAACGGCATGTAGCTGGGCCACTCAACCATGGTGCCCTGTTGAAAGTCACAGGCAAAAGCCTTGAAAAACCAGTACATGCTTGCTACCTCCCCAAGGCCATCTCTTTGTGGTGTGCATCTGTTCCGATTTCTCTCTCTTTCTGGATAGTATTAACACAACTCCACAAAGCTCTCATACATAGATTTATTGAAGATTATTAAGGCAAGTGTAGAAATATTCCTCACATTCCAATACAGTGGTACCTCGGGTTACAAATGCTTCAGGTTACAGATGCTTCAGGTTACAGACTCCACTAACCCAGAAATAGTACCTCGGGTTAAGAACTTCACTTCAGGATGAGAACAGAAATTGTGCTCCGGTGACATGGCAGCAGCGGGAGGCCCCATTAGCTAAAGTGGTGCTTCAGGTTAAGAACAGTTTCAGGTTAAGAACAGACCTCCAGAACGAATTAAGTTCTTAACCCGAGGTACCACTATACATAGATCTGCTGTCACTAAATAACTGAAACCTGTGGGAGCCGAACTGCATCTCTTGCCACACTGTTGGCCTCCCACTGGAAACAAGATGTTTTTGTTTCTTTTATCTGTTCATAGACCAGTTTACTATTCGAAGGATCTCAAACTGGTTTGCATCCATAATAAGACCATATTGATAGATTAACATTAAAAAATACATTTAAAAATTATCTATATCCTCTGCATACTCAAACAGCACCACCTTCAGGGCTCACTGGGTGGAACCAGTCCTGTCATGGTCTGAATGATTTACTGCAGAATGAAGAGGTACAAATCCCATGTGATTCAAGTTATTCCATCTATTATATATTCATGACTGCAGTTTTAGGGTGAAAATCTAGTACTAGTCTACACATGTACCAGAATGCGATGATTGGAATCATGAGGTGATAGATTGGGTTGTACCATTTCAGCCTACAGGTGTGGATACCAATTTTTAATCCCCCCCCCTTTTAAAAAACAAAAAGCTCCAAGACACACCAGGGGAAAATAGGTACTACCCAGTCCATTTGGTGTTTGTGACAGTTTCCAATTGCAGGAGGGCTCCCCACTCCCACTCCCCAAGGGCAATTTGAAAATATAGCCCACCTCCTTTAGTGGTACAGTCCATTTTGCAACCTCAGCATTCTACCACCTCATTCTACTGTGTGCCTGTTGTGTGTGTAGACCAGGCTAAGCATATGCTCTGAAGTGCTCTGGGAGTGGTTTGCAATAGCTCCACCCTGAAAGTTTCTCTTGCATTTTTCTCCGACCATTCTCCATCAGGTAGCGATAAAAGAAATTGCTTTCATAAATTATGAAAGCGGACAGGTTTTTTTAAAAAAAGAATAATTGAAATTTTCATGGGTGGGGTGCAGGATTCATGGGTGGGGTGCATGGGTGGGTCATGCTTACCATACTTCTGTAGAGTGTTATTTGTGAATGACTTTCCTAGCTTTCTACAAATCATCTCACCAGCAGCCTGCACTTTGCAGCCTTCCCATATGCCCTCCCTTCATTTAAGCCAAGATGAAAACAACGGGAAGTAGCTGTTTCAGGTCAGAAAGTGCAGGCATCCAAGGAGGCTGCAGAGTGTTATAGAAGTGCTTCCTGAAAAGAAAAGTATATATCCCACTTGTGGCCCTGGCCACTTAGCAACAATAAGAGATGCTCAAAATTCCACACCCACCAGAATTCTAATAGAAGTGTCCTGATATTGAGGCAGGCAAATTGAAGGTTCTTTCACGCAGAAGGGGAGCTGGACTTTAGAGAAACTGGAGGTCAGATTTTTAGCACAGCTCCAGGTTGAAAGCACATTCACTGCATTCTGAGGCGTTTCTGTGCAGGACAGCAAACTGGTCTCTTCCTTCTAATAAGTGTAGCCCAGAAGGCATATGGGGGCACTTGAGGATCCTGTAGCCAAGCAAGTAGCAGGCAGTGTTGTGGTTGCAGGACCTCAGATAACTTCGAGTGATCCCAATGGAGGGATTATAACTCTGGATTATTCCTCCCAAGCTTCACCCCCTTGGAATACGAGTGGCATTTCATAAAAGTAGAGTCCTCTGACTTGGAGCTGAGCACTTTGTTGCTTTGTGCTCCCTGAAACAATGAATAGTAGTTGTATAGTGGGAGGTGCTTGGTGTGATAGATACCTTGGGGGAGGGGTATCATTCTTTGTAGGGCTATCTGTATAGGTCCTGGCTCATGAGCCTCAGGTTCTAGTTAAGGGCTGGGATATATTTTTCAGACTGGGGACCACATTGCCTTCTAGGCAGCCTTTTGGGGGGTCAGTAGTGGGTGGAAGCAGAGGGAAAAGTGGGTGGATCAATTAATGCAAACTTCCTTCCTTGTCCAGCAGGCTGGTTTCTACACACATACACATCTCTTTATTCTCTGTCATTCAAAGCAACATGCATTATCAGAGTTTAATGACACATCCCAGGCAGGCATAAACAGGGAGGATGCAAAGCTGGACCAGTGTGGCCTGGGAGAGAGATGTGTGGCTGTGAAGGAGATAGTAACCTGCAGAGAGTCCTGAGGTTCAGATACAGATGCTTGGAGGACCACATTAGGTTGACAGGCCTGAGGTTCTCCACCCTTGTTCTACTTTGCTAGCCTCAGGCTGCATATAAGGGGAAGAGGGCTTGCCCTTCTGCAGGGCATATGGGTATCTAGGACTCTATAGGCTCCTCCTCCTCCTGACTCAAGTCTTGCCTGCCTCCATGACAATAACGTATATTTAAGCCACTTCCACCACACTTGGTATTATGTGTGTCTTCACCCTATCCGTTGTTAGAATATATGTAATTCTTATTAAACAGCTGGCATGGAAGTTTGTTTGGTTTTTTTAAGAATGGCAATATTTTGGAGAGGGAGAGTGGAATCCCAGCTGGAAGCAGTAATGTATGTCGCCATTATGAAGCATTGACTTGTAGTCTACAATGGCTTAGCTCAACATTCCACATGCCAATAACTGACCAGTCTCTCTCTCTCTCTCTCTCTCTCTCTCTCTCTCTCTCTCTCTCATCTTTTCTTCCAGTCATTTCACTATGCTTCCCTGAGGGTAAAAAGCAAGAAATGGCCCAAAGGTAAGTTGTTTTAATTATTCATCTGCTTACATATTCCTTACAGAACTTGGAAATCAAGGTTCCACTTTTGTGAAAGCATTACATTTGTAGCACGGTGCTCTTTTTCTTGAAAAAGAGGTGCCAGAACTCAGCATGAACACCTCCCTTGTTCTCTTGTAATGGCTCCCACTTGAGAGGTGCCAGAACTGAGTTCCGACTGGGGGGGGGGGGAGCCCTGCATTTGCAGAGCTTTAGCATAAAGCACCTTTTAAGTCATATTTGGATGTTCAAATCCACCTTGCATTTAGAATCGCATTAGGAAGAGCAGGTAATTCACTTGGTACCTTAGGTTGCAATCCTGTACACACTTACATGGAAATAAGTCTTATTGAACTCAGTAGGACTAACTTCTATGTAGGGAGTGTCCTCAAACTGGTAAATACAGAGATGTCAAGCAAACAGCAGATATTTCTCAGGAGCATGTTCCAAAGATGAGGCAAAAGAAGTCCTGTCCCTTTCACCACCCACCTTAAGATCAGATGACAAGGACAGTCACCGAAGGTATTCAGATGATAAATCTCAATGAATAGAGATGCGGAAAGATGGTTGTTATTAGCTGTCAAGACCCCAAACCTTTCGTTCCAGCTTATGTTTTCTGCAGTTCTTCTAAAACTGGCTGGAATGTCACTTCAAGAAAGGAATAAACTTTTCAGAGCTTAGCTGCTGGATGCCAAAGAAGAAAGGATAGTAATTTAATGTGATCTAAATTCTTGACTCTGCTTCACAGCTGTAGGACAAATATAATTAATATAACAATGTAAACTCAATTTTTCACAGTGAATAGTCTAATGTTTTAATTAAATTTGCCCAAGGCGTTTAAGGGAAAGTGATATGAATATTAGGGGCAGGGGGTCTCTTTCTGGTGATAGAGAAAGAAAGGGAGAATAAAATGTTAAGAGTTATGAAGTGGGATGCACTGAAATGTTGAAAATAAATTGGGCACCCAGTATCAGCCTTATAAAGCCAAAGTGCTCCTTATGAATTAGACTCAGATTTTATTGAAAAATACTTCTGCTATACACTGACCATTCTTTCTTACTTGGTTAAAAAGAGATCAGACAGAGAAGTCGCAGCACTTTTTAATCACCATCATCTATAGCATCCTCTGATGTTATGTGAACTATAAAGAAACTGGGAATCGAGAGAGGCTAACAGCATTTAACAGACATTTGTGTCCAGATCAGCCTTGCTCTACATTTGGTTATTCGGTTTCAAAAGGGGAGAGAAGTCAAACCAGCAATGCAGTGCATCCCATGTGCTGGGAAACTGATAAATCTAACTGGAGAAATCACTTGATGCCAATATTCATTTAACACACTCAGACAGCCCATCCATATATTACAAGTGTCTGGTTCAAGAAGTTGCTGAGTGAACTTTTAGGTCGAACCCCGAGTGTGAGCTGGCAGGTACTAACTTCCAAAACCCCAGCCACATATTTAGGAAGCCACTTTATACTTTGTCAGCCCATTGGTCCATCTAGCTCAATATTGCCTATATAGACTGGCAGCTGTTCTGTGAGGTTTAGATGGGGACATTTCCAGTCTTATCTGGAGGTGCCAGGGATTGAACCTGGGACCTTTTGCAGGCGAGACAAGTGTTCTGCCACTGAGCCATAACCCTTCTCCAACTGAAGAAGTGTGCATGCACACAAAAGCTTATACCAAGAACAAACTTAGTTGGTCTGTGGGTTAAACCACAGAGCCTAGGGCTTGCTGATCAGAAGGTTGGCGGTTCAAATCCCTGCGACAGGGTGAGCTCCCGTTGCTCGGTCCCTGCTCCTGCCAACCTAGCAGTTCGAAAGCATGTCAAAGTGCAAGTAGATAAATAGGTACCGCTCCGGCGGGAAGGTAAATGGCCACATGACCTGGAAGCTTCTACACCGGCTCCCTCGGCCAATAAAGCGAGATGAGCGCCGCAACCCCAGAGTCAGCCATGACTGGACCTAATGGTCAGGGGTCCCTTTACCTTTAAGGTGCTACTGGACAATTTTTTTATATATTTCAATTAGGTATGCTGCTTTCCTTCCTTCTTCCCCCCACCCCTATTCCTATTCACCAAAAGGTGAAAATAATACTGTCCTACCATATAGGGCTGCTGTAAATATTAGTTGTATAGTGATAGAATCTGATTCTGTTCTTTTCAACCATGAAACTAACAGATGCCACAGAGTTGTTAGGAATGTAAGACATTGCCTTATACCACTGCCAAACCATTTGGTGGATCTAGTTCAGTGTTATCTGCTCTCTGGGGTTTTAAACAGGGGTCTTTCCTCTCCTTGTCTGCAGAAATCTGGCTCTGTTTACATTTTAATGCAAACCTACCTAAATTTCCCTTTCCAACACAAATGCACAAACCAACATGCAACTCTACTTCAATATTTGCACTTCTCCAATTTTTTCAATGCAATTCTCCATTCAAAAAAATATGTACATAACTGCATATATTAGGAGCAAGTGCGCCAAAAGGAATGTATATATAAAAATAACAAATAAACTGCATTAGGAGGAATTGCTTGCAAAGATTTGTATATCAGGAAAAATTAGCACCAAAACGCTAATGAATTAATAATGAGGATTAGGGAAACCAAAGCATGTACATTGATTCAGAAATGTGGCAGACTGCCCTTTGCACCCTATGAATGCCATGAATCAGATGGATAAAATGCTGCAAGGATTTCACAATTGCATATGAATGTCCCTCTTATTTAAAAGGGTTCCGTTGAGAATCTTATATCATGTTTATCAGTCACCCTTAAGGATTACACTTGCACTCTCTCCTGTTTTTGGAAGTTCTCATGTTCTCATTTCCATTCAAGGAGGTTCGCTGAACAACAGCAGCAGACGAAGGATATCCTGCAAAGACTTGGGGCATGGAGATTGCGAGGGTTGGTTGTGGAAGAAGAAGGATGCCAAAGGTTACTTCACCCAGAAGTGGAAAAAATACTGGTTCGTCCTGAAGGATTCTTCTCTCTACTGGTACACTAACCAGAATGTGAGTACCTACCACAATGCAGAAAAGAAAACCCCCAAAATGAATATATGGGCAGAGAGATTCAGTTGCTTACTTTTAGGGTTCATCCACACTTCCTCTTGTTCCACTGCTTTCCATCCAGGAAAAACTGCTCTTTAGCAATTGCAATTCAGATTGATGTTTGCTCCGATTTAGCACTAAAGAGCAGGTTTTCCCTGGGAACAGAGCAAGGCAAGCAGAAACCCACTTAGACCTATGCCAAGAAAGCATGGATCAAGTGGGAAACTGCTGGGCCCTCGGAGAAGAAAAAAAAATGAGGTGCATTCTAAGCTGTTGCTGTGTGTGTAGACAGTTCACCATACTCAAATATGCTATCGGTGATCTCAGTTCTCAGAGTGTTGGTCCTGATGTTGCAAAAATGGTGCCATCATTGCACAAGTTGGGGATACCAGCAGGCTTGGGAAAGCCCCAAAGCTTGCAGAAGTACAAAAATATTTGAAGGGTGGGCTCTGAAGGGGAGTTGTCACCCCAAAGAGGCCAGTGAGGACTGAGCATGCATTTTGATCAGGGGGTGCTGATAATTCTAAAGAGGAAAAATGAAACTAAGGGAGATTTGGAAATGGAATGGAATGTCCTGAACAATGTCAACGATGCTTGTGTTCATTTAGAACTCAGTTCCATCGTGCTTCTACACTGATCTGCAAATAGAAAACAAAATCATGAGAATCTGTATTTAAATATGTGGCTTTGAATATATTTTCTCATGCAATACATATTTACAGGTACGTTCTATCCTAAAATACATTTTTGGTACGCTTTTTTGAGCTGAGAGCTGCATCCCAAGACTTGGGAGAACCATGAAATCTAAAGGATAATTAGATTCCTCTCTGCACATTAGTCAGGGTCCAGGGTGTGCTGTTCAGGTCAGTTGACATCAGAATTTGCAGACTGAATTGCTGAAGTCTCCCTAACAGGAGCACTCTATGCAGCAACATTTTTGTTGCCATTCTTGCTTACAGTGGTTAATTGTGGAAATTCTCCATACATGGATGGACTCAGACCCTGCTAAACAACGCATGCAGGAAGTACTGTGAGAGTTGGGCATATGTGCGCATGTATGCATACATTAGAATAGCTCTGATGACCAAGATCCTTCCAATTTGCCAATCAAAATCTTACTCCCATGCGTCTTCGCAGATCAGTGCGTGGGCCTGCATTTAACTGCACATAGAGGATTTCCGCATTTTAAAATGAGTAGCCTAAGTGTAAGTTAGTTCAGCAAGTGGTGCATGGTGGCACTGGTGCTTTGTGGAAAGAATCCGTGCTGTTTGTCCACTGTATCTGCTAATACAGCCATGCAAATGTTCCTGAGACCAAATAGCAACTATCAGCTTGTCCACACGTCTGCTTGTCCCACCACTTTTCTTCGGAGTCACACACTGTTATCACTGAATTGGAACAAACAACAATTTTATTTTCTGTGAATTACCGTTTGTTCCAATTCAGCATTAAACAGTGGGTTTTCCTGGGGAAAGTGGTGGGAATAGTGGGGAACCTCTCAGACCCAGGCTTCCTAGGCACAGGACTAGTGTAAGGGCTCATCCACACTTCTAGTGTGATCCTGTCCATGTCTACCCAAAAGTAGGGATAGGGGAGAAATTTGGTCCAGTTTGCAATGTAATGCAAACCTACTTCATTTAGACTTCCTGAAACAAACAATCTTCTCCTAACTTTGTGATGCAGTTCTCCAACCCAAAACCATCTGCCAAATGCAGATATTAGGGGAAAGTGTGGGAGATTATTTCAGCCAAGCCATCCTCACCTGCCCTACACCTGATGTCATATATGATGTTGATATGAAGCAGGTAAAGAGCATGATCCCTGCAGATCCCAGCTTTGCAGGCACCACCAATCAGCTGGTTGTTGGCGTTTGCAATGTGCTGTGTCTTTATGCGGGCAGTTTGATTTCAAACCATTCAGGCAAAGGAAAACAGGTCACCTGATGTCATTGTGGTGTCAAGCCAGTCAGAATTGGTCCTCAGGCTGTAAGAACCAGGCCCATTGGCCATATGCAGTTCCCCAAATAAGCTTATGGCTGGAGTGAAATTTGGACTCGAACATCCTGATTCATAGCTCAGGCTGCAGTCTTTTATAGACTTATCTGGGAGTCAATTTCACTGAACACAGCAGGACTTACTTTTGGGTAAACATCAATAGGATGCATGTTGTGTCGTCTTCTTTTTAGCCACCAATTTGTACCAGCTCTCAATGAGAGGGCAGTGAATGAGTAAATGAATTTGTCTTGAGTAAAATAAAAATAGGGGAGAGGGGAATATCAAGGTGAGATTTATTTCCATATGTAAAGCTTAGGTTTTTATCGGGTAATTCCATATCTGCAACTTGAATATGAATAAGGAAGTTACCTGGCATTGTGATCAATCAGCAAAGGTAGTTAGCTGTCTTCTGTTTCAGCTTGTACCACTGCAGCCAGAGATTATTCTCAGATTAAAGTGGGCAATAACAGCACCCGCTCCATAGTGTGAACGATTGCTTTTCTGAGATGCCTACACGTACAGAGTGTGAGCAAAAATCACATTAAACAAAAAGTAAATATGTGTTACTTGAATACTTCCACGGGAAATTAACAGCTCTCGATGCTGAAAGACAGGCTTATATTTGGGTTCTCCGTTCTAATGGTTAAGAGGATGTCAGCCACCCACGAAAGCAGCTGTCTATGATATGATGAACACAGGAAGCTGCCTTATACCGAATCAGATTCTGGAAACTTTTGCGTGGGAAGCAGGTGTTCTAACCCAAGGTTAAGGAACCTGATTTGGCAAGTGGGATAGATTCTTACCTCCCCTGCCCATCATGAGCCTCTTTGAAATCAATTTATCGCTAGACTTAGGGTGACGCCGGATTGGGTTATGACTAGGCCACAAAGCTTACTAGTTGACCTTGGGCCATCACAATCCCTCCGTCTAACCTGCTTCATAGGGTTGTTGTAAAGATAAAATGAGGCATGTGTATGGAGGAAACCATGCCTGCTGCTCTGAAGTGAATGCAGTAAGTGTTGCCTTTGCCCAACTCCCTTTCAAGCTGAGCTTCAGGAAAGGGGCAATGCAGTCACTGCCAGGGGTCCCAGCTGCTGACTCCCATCTGCAAGCCAAGACCCAAGCAGAAGAGAGCAAGCAGCTGAGGCACAAACAGCCTATGATGCAGGAGAACTGTGATTCAATCTCCCAACATTGACAAACTGGAGCCTATTCAAATGTTCAAAGCAAGGAGACCAGAATGGTGAGGAGTCTGGAAAATGAGTCCTATGAGGGATGGTTGAAAGAGCCAATGTATGTTTAGCCTGGAGAAGAGACAACGAAGTGGAGTCACACTATTTCAAATCAAATACCTGAAGGGCAGTCACACAGAAGATGCAGCAGACTGGGTCTCTGTCACTGCAGGGGGTAGGATGTTCTGAACCTCAGGCCCAAAGGAGGACTTGGGAGTGGTTTGTTGCAGGGATACCAAAGAAGGATGTCAAAAACATCAGAGGGATCAGTTCAAGTGCTTTATTAAAGAAAGCTGTGGACTTACAGCAAAGCAGCCTGCCAGGTCTGCCAGATTTTACAAACGTGGGATGGACACTGCAGCAAGGAGA